TAATGCATGTGGTCGTATATAAATGCAGGGTGCGATTTAATTATTGTTTTAATTACTTGTAGAATATTATTTTTTAGCAATTAATTGCTTCTATTTATCCTTTGAGTTTTAGGAACTATTTGATTAATTGCTAAGTAAATGAATACTTTGTTTCTGAGGTGTGTAATGTGTTACAGTTATTTCTGTTTGTTTAGGCGACGAGCTCTACAAAGGAGAGCACAAGAAGCTCAGGTTTCAAATGAAGAACAAGAGGAGATGCTTAGGAATTTGGAGCGCAGAGAAACGGAGTTTATGAGACTCCAAAGGCGTAAAATTGGAATTGATGATTTTGAGCAGTTAACTGTAATCGGTAAAGGCGCATTTGGGGAGGTAATGGATTTCGATTTCAGCATTTTTTTTTCAAAGGATGATTAGATATAAATTCGAAGTGTAATAAGAAATTATTAATATCTTAGGAATTGATGTATGGTTTAAGATTCTTTAATAAAAAGATTTGCCTAATTGGGGAAAATAGGATTGTTATCGTGTAAAGTCCATTGTCAGTTATTTAATATGACCTTGGCTTATCTGGAGATTTTAATTCGTGTGCTGGATGAAAAGTAATTTAATTTGCAATTGCAAACAGTATGAAGATTTTATATTGATATGTTCAAAAAACCCAGGTTAGGTTATGCCGAGCCAAGGATACCGGGGAGATTTTCGCTATGAAGAAACTGAAGAAATCAGAGATGCTTAGCCGTGGGCAGGTGAGACCACAGTATATAAGATAATGTTGATGATCAAGATAATGTTCGTTTTTGCTGCTGACAAATGCCCATTTCAGCTTTATTAAGACCTCTATCCATCGTAATAATGTTATAGGTATAAAACATGTTTAACATGTCTGAATTCGGAGGTCAACTATTCTCACTCTCTGAATTGTATTGATCTTTTCCTCTTCTTTTTTTCCTTTCCCCGTGTTTAAGGTTGAGCATGTCCGATCTGAGAGGAACTTACTTGCGGAGGTTGATAGTCGATGCATAGTAAAACTTTTCTATTCTTTTCAAGATTCTGATTTCTTGTATCTGATCATGGAGTATTTACCTGGTGGAGACATAATGACATTATTGATGAGAGAAGATGTCCTTTCTGAAGATGTTGCACGTTTTTACATAGCAGAGAGCATTCTAGCCATACACTCAATTCACCAACACAACTATGTTCACAGGTATGTCGATGTTGTAATTAAAGAGCTTACAAGCTTACATAATTTACTTACCTGTTGGATTGGTGTGCCTTTTGTTATTAATGGCATTGAGTGAGTTTTAGGATATTTAATGAGTGGATCCTTGTATATGTCCCGATTGGAATGCTAATATTTTTTGCCCAATTTCCGTGACCCGTCAAATTGGCACATTTGAGCTTAATCTTCAACTTATTAGTTTTTTATGGATCTAAGTTCTTTATTTATCTTTTGGGGAGTCAAATGGTTCAGTCTTGTAAAGGGCATGGCATATACTCGTAGATTTGATGCCTATCATAAGTTTCATTTCAAGCCATTACACTGGTTGAGGAGTCGCAGCAGGCAATAAGTTTGTCATGAATTTTTCGTGTTAGGTCAGGACCGCTTTTGAAGATTTTTAGATTGATAGCAGACTATCACTAGAATTTTCTCAGAGAATCAACGTATTGCTCAGCTTTCCCTTTTCTTTACTCAGAGAACGTTCTCCATGCAGGGACATAAAACCAGATAACCTGATACTGGACAAAAATGGCCATTTAAAGCTTTCCGATTTTGGCTTGTGCAAACCCTTAGATAAGTATTCAAATTTACTAGAAAATGAAGATATTTCTACCCAGGAAGTGTCGAATGAATCTGGAGGGCATTCTGCTAGTGAGAGACCCCCTTGGTTGATGCCAAAAGAGAAATTGCAACAATGGAAACGTAATCGCCGTGCATTGGTATGATCTCTATCCATTAGCATATTTTGATTTTTTTTCATTGCTGGAGCTAATTTGTGTAAGATGCAATTTGGCAGCATGTCAGGTTTTGACTTGTATGAATATAGCATGCAGTTCAAGCTTTTACAATCTGTTTTCTTCTGAGGCAATATTTTTTGCATGTGGCTTTACATTTATTTTCAGGCTTATTCAACTGTTGGAACTCTTGATTATATGGCACCTGAAGTGCTGTTGAAGAAGGGATATGGAATGGAGTGCGATTGGTGGTCCCTTGGTGCAATCATGTATGAGATGCTTATAGGCTATCCTCCCTTCTGCTCTGATGATCCAAGGATCACATGCCGCAAGGTTGCAATAAGTTGTGGTTCTCCATTATTTTCTTAGAATTCTTCATTTTTGCTAAATCGTTGATGTATCCGTTTTTATCAGATAATCAATTGGAAAACATGTCTCAAATTCCCCGAGGATCCAAAGATATCAAGCGAGGCCGAAGATCTTATTTGCCACTTGCTCTGTGATGTTGAGACAAGGCTGGGGACCAGAGGGGTTGAAGAATTGAAGGTATTTTTTTCCCCCAATAATTACAACATTTATCATACACATCAGACAAAGTTGCAGAAATATCTTCTCTTGTTTAACTCTTTCAACTTCCAGGATAGTGTAAGCACTAATACATAATTGATTAAGGAGGTGAATCTGCCACCTTGAAGTTGTCTAGTTGTAAAGCATGCATGCCTCATTTTGTTCTCAATTTTGTAAATTTCTGTGTGCTATTGCTGGTTGCTTTCGGAGCTTTGATACTGCATCAATAACTTTTTACTGCAACAGAGGGGTTTGAGATGGTCAATATTCTGTTCTAAATTCTTCATTGTTTCAGGCGCATCCATGGTTCAGATGCACTCAGTGGGATTTGCTGTATGAATCGGAAGCTGCATATAAGCCTACAGTCATTGGAGATTTGGATACTCAGAACTTTGAGAAGTTTCCTGATGTGAGTACATTGAAAAAGATTCCAGCATATAATTTGTGATCTCATTTGGGATAAAATTGTACCACTGATAAGATGTAGATGTCCTTGCAAATTTGAAAGTCGTTCAACTTACCTAAGAACTTTTCCAACTATTAGCTCCACAAAGAGAGATCCCTTATCAACTATTACCTAAGAACTCGTCCACCTTTCATTCCCAGGTTCCAACATGTTTTCTTTAGTCTTAACTTTGTTCTTCTCCTCCAGTTTTGGCTGGTGGCGTAAGCTTGATCCTATAACCATTCTCCATAACCCCTGACCATTTATCTTGTGTCTGTTACATTATATTTGCTTTTCAATATAAATTGCGTTCTTATGTACATGTGGTTATGTGTTCCTTTGAATGAAGAATTTTTGCTAAGCCTTTTCTTTTTTGCAGTTGGAAGGCCCACCATCAACAATACCAAGTGTGGGACCTTGGAGGAAGGTAACAACATTATTTGAAGTTTAACTTTTTATTTATGCAGAAAAGTCCTTACAGGCCGAATTATATCCACAAGTGTAAACGAAATGGCCAACAGGGTTTTTTTCAACCATGATAATGTGGATATAGTACTGTTAAATTGTATGAGAAATTGTTTCATTATTCCCATGGGTTGTCTAGGCAGCTCAACTATATAATTACCCTTATAGATTATGTACATTAAATAATTCTATAATTTTGCCATATATGTGCAATCCTTTGCTTCTTATAAGTATGTTAGTCTGTATCCAATTTTTTCCCCATGGTTTATGTTAGTTGTGATGCTAATTTTCCAGTGTGTTTTTCTTGTTCCATGGGGCAGATGTTGACATCAAAAGATACCAATTTTATTGGATTTACTTATAAGAAATCAGACGTCCTTAAATCACTGGAAAGTTCAGGTAAGCTGTTTTGGAGTTGGGCGGCTTTTCTTTGATATCTTTGTTTTTCATTCATTCTTCTTTTGTTCATCCATTTTAGCGCATTATCCAAAATTTTCACTCGATGTAAAGGGACTCTAACCCAGCTGAATTTTGAACACTTGGAACTTAATCTGCGTTACCTTACAAAAACTGTAGAAGGGAAAAAGGAAGGCAGTGGTCATTCTGCAGTACACTTGGGAGTCAATAATTAAATATACATGATGAGTTTCTTATGTGACTTTGTCTAGTCAGGATTTTAAGCTATAAGTGCGCGTGAAAAGTAGAAAGCTTTTCTCTATTCACATATATTTATGCAGATTCACAGTGGTTCGCTTGAGCACATGCGTTGTTTTTCTTAATGGTGTTCATTTTATTTGACTATGCTCAAACCGCAAATTAGCAATATATAAATACACCAGCTTTTAACTCTGGTTTCACTCCTCCCTTAGAGTTACCGCCCCGGGAACACCAGATAAGAGGGGCGTGTGTGGTTTACAGAATTGATCATACATTGCATGAGTAGCAGGGCTAGTGTCATTGACTTTGGATGCTGATTTCAGGTACAGACATGAAATTGAATGAATCCTCGAAAGCTGCATCTCTAATTTCCTTGTTCGGTATGATTCCTTTTCCTTTAATTAAAGTTCAATATGGTAGTAGTAAGCTGCATCTCTAATTTCCTTGTTAGGTATGATTCCTTTTCCTTCAATTAAAGTTCAATATGGTACTAGTGTAGAGTTATTGCACCCCCAAGGTAGCGCTGCAGTAATATATTGGAGGTGCTGCTATATCTATAATGGATTCAGCTGTTTTTATTTCCTCATGACAACTGCCTAGCCTGGCATCAACAATGCATCTTACCGTCAAATTATGTTAAAACAATTGACCAAGATTGAGTCTATTGTTCTTGATGGACTGTCCAGAGGGAGAGAAAAATTAAGTGTTAAGGTAGTTCTTTATTTAGAAGTGCTGGTAAACTGGCTTATTTTAATGTTGTCTCTCTCTTTTGGCTAATCCAGGTCAGATCGAACTTGAAGAGACTGTAATATCAGAATGTGAGCAGAAGCCGGAAACGTGAGATCCAGCTATCACACTTTGCCGCAAGTGTTGTCGGTATTCCTAGTTTTGCAATGAGAATAATCTACAAATGGGAGAATTATACGAGGCTGAATTGGCAGTAGTTGTATGAAGACAGGAACAAGCACACCATCAGCTTAAGGGGTTGATGTGTTCTGCGGCTACAATGATTTTTGCTTACACGAATGTTTTGGTACTTTAGACAAGTAAATAGTTCAATCCAATTCTAAAAAGAGCTGTCTTAGTGCTTAATTTTCCTTTACACGAGTCAGGGCCAAGTAAAAAGGCTACCTTTGAGCTGAGCTATAAAACCCGACCTGGTTAATTCATTGACTCATTGGCTAGAACTCGGCTAAGATACGGTTTTGCTCTAAACCTATCTTCGCAGATGGAACCGTTTCCACGTTCAATCACCTTGAAATAAATCATACAGCTTTTTGACGGTTCAATAAAAAAATTTATATTAAAAAATAATATAAATTAATTTTTTTAATAATTTAAATTATTATGTTGTGATGATTTTTTATAAAGTATTATAGTTTTGATGAATTTGAATTATATTATTTTTTATTTATTTAATAAAAATTAAATATAAAATAATATAAATTTATATAAATTTAAAATTTAAAATATTTCTATTTGATAAAATATATTAAAACAATAATATAAATTATATTATAAAATTTCACCGACTTTTTGAAGTTATAAGTTGTTAAATTAAATTATAAGTTATTGAAATGATATGTTTCTTTAAAAAGATGAAACACTCATCATTACATGGGTATGTGTGTGTGGTGGTTGATATGATGCTTAGGGGCGTCCTTTCATTCACGAAGCACCAATATTCCATGGATGATGGAACTGCCTGCACCATATGATTTCCCTTGATTTTATCTCCTTTTGTGGTCGAAATTGGTCAAGGAGCCTGGTCGTGTCTTTGCCCCACAATGCATTCATGTCCAGATACCATGGCCTCACTTCAACTGTACGTAGGGCCTCTTCCTCACGCTTCGAATCAGCATTTTCATTCTCAAAG